TTTCATTCGATTCCCCCCTCTCCCCCCACCTAGGCAATTTCTACACCATCCCTATATATGCGTACGTACGTGCGTGCATGAGTGTGTGTGTGTATGTGTGTGTGTGTGTGTGTGTGTGTGTGTGTGTGTGTGTGTGTGTGTGTGCGAGGAGCATAAAGAGAGCAGGGAAGACAGGCTCATTACTGGTCGCCACGGGTCATTACTCTGACCAGCCCGTATCCAGTGGTCTCCCCTTGTAAGCCTGTCAAGGCGCGTAACTCCTCAACCAATGATGGCTGTAGACGGCCCAGGGAATTTTGCAGGAGAGCTCCTTCTCCATTTGTCTTACTAGGCTGTGGCTAATGCTTTTACTTTTAATGAAGTAAAGAAAAGAGTTTTATTAAGTCGAATTCATTCGTTACTTGACAGTTGTCAACTCGTAATTTAGTTCAGTCCAGGCTTTGGAACTGACGTTTTCTTTCCTCTTAAAAGAAAACTCTTGTCAAAATAAATAACAGACACACGAGGATTCATAAGCTATTAGTTACTGTCTTCAGGGCACTCATGCTATGCTAAAAGTGTTATACAATCTCGTGTCAGTGTCATTTGGAATTCTGTAGATGCCTTGAAACTGGTGGCTGTTGCGTAACGGTTAGGTGCTTTGCTGTTGACCATATGTGAGGCGGCGCGGTGGAATCAGGCTCTCGTCAATTTTTGGGCATGTAGAGTTATTGGTATTATCTTAAAGCTTGTTCACTTGTTTTTATTTGGATGAAAAAAATATCCTTTTATCTTGAATACAAGTCGAGATATTTTCGAAAGAAGGAGGTGGGGGTCACCTATTTTCAGAGGTGAAATTAGTGAGAAAATGGCCGCCAAAGATTATTTATTTCCTAAGCTAAAGAGTTCGTGGTAACAGAAAATTTACATTTTTTGTTCTTGTAATCAACGTTTTCCAGAAAAGTAAACACAGAAATGAGTTCTTTAATGGGCATGAAAGGTGTTGAGCCAAAAAAGCAAAAATTTGATAAAAATTCAAAAACCTTCGGAATAATACAAGTTTCTTCACTTTGATTATTTTGACGAGAGCCTGATCCACCACGCTGCCTCACATATGCAAAAGATCAGACTCCGGTTCCCGTGTGGGGAACGAATCCCTGTCTTTCTGCTGGGATGTTGTATCCACCTCTATCTAGTTGGCGCTGGTGGAAGCCCACCTCTTGCATGATCTAGGCTGTGTCGATTTCTTTTTTTGTGGGGGGGGGGGGGCGTAATATACCTATTTTAGAAAAGAGCTTCGGAGAGGTGTGAGCTTTTCGTGATTCCAATATCTGACTTTTTGCTTTATTTCTGTCAAGGTAGCTGGTCTCCATATCCAATCTCT